TGCAGGGTGGTGTATGTGTTTGGGCCCCCTGTCAAGGAGCCCCCCACGGATGTCACCCCCACCTTCCTGACCACGGGAGTCCTCAGCACTTTACGGCAAGCTGACTTCGAGGCTCACAACATTCTCAGGGAGTCTGGTACGTGCTCCCCCTCGTCCCAGGGTCACACTGTGCTCCCAGGTCCCTGCAAACACTGTGGGGGTCACAGAGTGCTGCTGTCAAATCTGCAAGCAGGTGTTTGGGATGGTGTTCACAGGGGTCCCAGGATGAGGGAAGAGATGAGAATGTTGACTCCATGTTTCAGAAGGCTTGATTTATTATTTTATTATATATATATTACATTAAAACTGTACTAAATGAATAGAAGAAAAGGTTTCATCAGAAGGTTGGCTAATAATAGAATAGCAAAGAATGATAACAAAGGTTTGTGGCTCGGCTCTCTGTCTGAGCCAGCTGACTGTGATTGGCCATTAATTACCAACATCCAACATGGGCCAGCCACAGATGCACCTGTTGCATTCCAAGCAGCAGATAACCATTGTTTATATTTTGTTCCTGAGGCCTCTCAGCTTCTCAGGAGGAAAAATCCTAAGGAAATGATTTTTCATAAAAGATGTCCATGACAGGTATTTCCAAAAAGGTGATCAGTTAGTGGAATGGCAGTCCAAAAAAATGATCAGTTAGTGGAATGGCAGTGAAAATTTGTGGAAGCTGATAGCCAAAGGGCAGGAATTCATTTTAGGGGATTTTGGGGACTGACTTGCTTCTGACACATCATGAAGCTCAAAGCTGTGGTGCTTCACTGCAGACTTGTGCAAAAAGTACTGGCTGGCAGCTCAGTCACCCAGATCCCTTCTCTTTGCTGAGCTCAGTGTTTACCTGAGGTGAAGGAACTTGACATAGTTTTTGAATGGTGTTGGTCCTGGGGAGAGCCCGGATACCAGGTTTCTCATGGGGGTGATGCTCACAGCCCGTGGTGGTTTCAGATTTCTTAACTTGAAATCAAAGCTGCAGCCCCAACCCTGCACAGCCAGGGAGTGTGGGGTCCCCCTGGATGTGCTGCACAGGCAGAGCCTGGGAATAAACAGTTCTGAGGTTCAGCCTCCTCAGGTTTTTACTTAATTACCTTTGGAGATGTGATCTGTGTGGGAAGCACTGCATCAGCCCTGCCTGTATTTGCTGTAAATCAAGTTACAGCAGATCCCTCTCTCTGAGGATCCATACTCAGTTTGCAGAGCTGTGTGAGCAGAATTTGTACAGAATTAACCTCAAAAGGCTGAGATAACACTGTTGGCTGTGTTGGTAAAGCTGTAGCTGTGTCTCGCTAACTTTTGGTGACACTTGGCTCTGTGTGAATGAATTGCTCCTAAAAATAAGCCTGGAGTTGTGGCTCAGTGAGAAAACCTCCGAGTGCAGCAGCTCAGGCCAGGGCTGGCACAGGGAGGGAGCCTGAGCTCCAGGAGCTCCTCACACCTGGATTTTGGACCTTCAGCTCCTTGGAACAGGGAAACTGGGGAGCTGTGCATTGCCTTTCTGGAGCAGATGTTGGAAAATGAGAGAAATGTCTGGAGTTACCTGCCCAGCACCAGCCAGGGGTACTGGAGAGCTGTGTCCTGAGTGTTTCAAAGACTATTTCAAAGAATAGTAGTTCAAAGAATATTTCAAAGATATATTTGGGAATATCTCTTTGTTGGGCTTGAAATGGGGACTGATAAAGCCCCCTGGTTTTATGTTATGTGGGAAGGAAAGTGGTTCTTCCATTGTGAATTACAGGGATAACACAGATTAGCTGGGATTTTTTCTGCGTGCCTGNGCTGCCACTGCCACTGATGGCTCTGACAAGGCCCCTGAGAGTCCATTGTCATTTGCAGTTCGTTGCATTGCTTCTGTTTATCAGATAAACGAACTGAGGGTCTGTTCATGTGCCGTACTAAAAGCCCTTTAAACACCTTTCTGTGCACAGCTCTTTAGTGTTAGCATGTCAGGCAAAGCTGGGAGGCTGCCTGGTTTGGTTTTCTGGCACTGGAATGGTGAGTTCTCTAACTGTGTTATACTCAGAAGCAGCCCAGCAGAGAGGCCTCACCCAGCAATCTGATGGAAGGTGCTCTGTTACCAGCTACCCACAGGAGAGAACTAATAATCCCATTTTTAGTATTGATCCCTGCACAAAGTGTGTTCCAGGCTGTGGGACAAGAAAGGTCTGAATTCCTGCAGGCAGAGCCAGCTTGGCCTTACAGCTCTGTCTGCTCTGCTGGAGCCACGGATTCTGGCACAACCTGGGGCTGCCTGGGCTCACCCTCTGTGCTCAGCTGTTCCACAAAGCCCACATTCACTTGGGATTTCTTTCCAGTGTTTGTGGAATCGTTGGCACTGGTGCTGTGAGCTCAGGCCGGTTTAGGTGCCAGAACCTGAACATTTGAGGCTTTTTGTTTGGATATGTGAGCTGGAGTGTAAATTGCCTCTTTTTTTGATTTCTTTTTCTTTTTTAGGGTAAAGTAATAGAGCCACTGAAGGACTTCCACAAAGATGAGGTGCGAGTGCTGGGCAGAGAGCTTGGTCTGCCTGAGGAGTTGGTGTCCAGGCATCCCTTCCCAGGTATGGGGCTGGGGGGTCACAGCAGGGCTCTTCAGCACATCAGAGTCACTGCAGTGTAAAACTGATCTTCAAACACAGAAAAAATGGATTTAGGCTTTCACTTAAGCACGGTATTTCAGGAAAGATGACTTGAGAGCAGCTTGATAAATATACATCATGTTCTATGATTGAGCTTTGGTGGGAGAAGCCAAAGGAGGAGTTCTCAGTAAGTGCAGTGAGCTCTGCCTGAGCTGCCACCTGGATCTGAGCTGGAGTAATGGCCTGATCTGCCTTTCCAAGGGGCATTTGCTGTCTTGAAAGTAAATACTCAACATTTCCAACACTAGAAAACCAAAGTTGGCAACTGTGGGTTGGTTTCTTTCTGTCCTTGAGGATATTTAGACAGCTGAAGCTTAGACAGAATGGCAGAATGCACAGAACTCAGTGACTGACTCACTGTTCCACCCTTCCAGCTGAAAACAGCTTCTGTTCTTTGGTGTAATATCTCTTCAATGTTGCTTTGCAGGTCCTGGCCTAGCAATCAGAGTGATCTGTGCTGAGGAACCTTACGTGTGCAAAGACTTCCCAGAGACAAACAACATCTTGAAAATAGTGGCAGATTTTTCTGCCAGTGTGAAGAAGGTAAGGAAATCCTAAATTTTAATTTTGAGTGATGGTTCTGAAGTGATCTGCAGGGAGGTTTAGTCTGCTAAAAGGTTAAAAGGACTGGTTTGTGCTCCTTGAGGAATGCTGCCTCCAAATACAGCTCCATTGAAGCTGTTCAGTAGAATTTTTAGTGCTGTGACTGCTGCAAGTGTTTTGAACCATTCCTGGAAAACAGAACTTTATTTACCTTTCAAATAATAAACAAATGCTGTTGCAGTTAAACTTTGTGCAGATGAGATCATGCAGTGACAGGAGAAGCTCTTCCCTCCCTGGAGGAGTTGTGACATTCTGGATTTGCACACCCCAAAATCCCTGGGTGTGTAAATGCAAGTGCAGGAGCTAGGAGCTGGCCCTGATGCAAAACCAGGAATTTCCAGTGGCTGATGTGTGATTTCCACATTTCCTACCTGTGCTGACCTTTGTGGTGGCTGTCAGGCATTTTTGGGGTCTGCTCTGAGGTGTGAGTTCAAAACAACCTCCAGAGCCTTTCTGGTAAATCCTGAAGGGCAGGATTTCCATCTGCCTTTCCTTCAAAAGCTGTGGAATTGTGGTGCCATCAAACTGGGAAGTGCAGCTTTGTGAGGGAGAAATGAGCACAGGAAAAGAGCTTTCCCTATGGCCTTGGAGAGCTTCAGCTTCAAACTCAGTGTAATCACAGAGAAGTGCTTCAGCTGATGTTTAATTGTCAGATGAGAGGTGTGCTTTAAATAGCTCCAAGGGGTAAATGTAGACTAAGCAAACAGTTATTTAAATTACAGTTTTATTTGTGCCGTGCAGGTTGTGTTTGAGGGGCTGGGAGCTGTGTTTAATTTATTGTATTTAAGTTTTGCTTCCATCCTTGGCAGCCCCACACGCTGCTGCAGAGGGTGAAGGCGTGCACGAGTGAGGAGGACCAGGAGAAGCTGATGCAGATCACCAGCCTACATTCACTGAATGCCTTCTTGCTGCCCATCAAAACTGTGGGAGTGCAGGTACAGGGCTGCTCCAGGTGTGCAGGGAGCTGGGCAGGCCTGGGGAGCCCCTGTGCAGCTGCAGGGCTGGGAATGCAGCCTGGGAATGCAGGGAAAGCTGTGCCAGCCTGTCCTGGTGAGTGCAGGGCTGGGAATGCAGCCTGGGAATGCAGGGAAAGCTGTGCCAGCCTGTCCTGGTGGCTGCAGGGGCTGTGCCAGCCTGTCCTGGTGGGTGCAGGGGCTGTGCCAGCCTGTCCTGGTGGCTGCATGGGCTGTGCCAGCCTGTCCTGGGCATTCAGCGTGTGCTCAATGTTGTCCCCAGCTGTGCTGCTGTCACCTGCATGAACAGGAGGGCTGTGGGTGGCTGTGGCAGCAGGGCTGGCACTCAGAGTGGCTGTCTGTCTGTCTGTCTGTCCCCAGGGTGACTGTCGCTCCTACAGCTATGTCTGTGGCATCTCCAGCAAGGATGCCCCACACTGGGAGTCCCTGATGTTCCTTGCCAGGCTCATCCCACGCATGTGCCACAACATCAACAGGTGGGTACTGATCTGTCTTTATTTTTAATTGTCTAATTCATATGTGGAATTGTCTAATTAATATGTGGAACTTCACCATGTGCAGACATTTCTCTGTCTAATCTGGGGTGTGATATTTTTATATGTTGGACAGGTGTCTCATACAGAGGTCACAAATGCACAATAAATCAAAATATGGATTTATTTCCAGCTTGAAAGGAAATTGCTGGCCTATATCCTTGGATTAGGCAGCCCCACTATAATTTATGCAAATCCCTTCTGCAGGGCTCCGGGCTGGGGCTGAGCTGTGATGTGCTGCACTTTGCTTTGCCTTTGTGTCAGGAGGGGATTGGTGAGGGGCTGTCAGCCCTGATGCACAGGGAGGCTCCAAAGCTGGCCAGTTTGATCTCAGCTGAGCTCTCTAAGGGTAACATTTCCTGCCCACTCCAGGACTTCCCCAGCAGCTGAAGGTGCTTAGACGTGAAATCAGCTCTGGGGAATTATACCCTCCTTGCCTGGCTGTGGGATTTCTGCCAGAAGTGCTTAGACTTGCTTATAGCAAAACTTCATTTTCTCACATAAGTGACACCTACTGACAGAGCTTTTACTCTGAAAGGTGAGAGCAGGAATTGCAAGGCACCTGTTTAAATTAAGTGCAGAGGGGACAAAAGAAGGCGTAAATCAGGATTGCCTGCACAGTTCCAGAGTGTGTCAGAAAATGAAAATGAAAGCCAGTCTGTGCCTTTAGAGCACTGCTGATTGCTTTAAGCTCTGCTGGGTTCAGCAGTGCCCTCCTGAGCATCCCACAGCTCTGGGAGCTCTGCTGTCTTTGCAGGCTCCTCTGCTGTTCCAGGCACACTGAGGAGGCTCCTGCCCAGCTGGCTTTGCATTCCACACAGAAATGCACAGCACAGACTGGCACATCTGTGTGTTTTGGGCCTCAGACAGGTGCTCCTGGTCTGTGTCTGCAGGCCCACACAGTGCTGGGAGCACCTCGTGGTGGATCCATGCACGAGGCCACTCCAGCTCTGCAGCTTCTGCGACACAAGGAATGACATTAAAAGCACAAAGCTGACGTGACTGCTCTGAATTCAGGAGATGTTTTGTTGCAGATGTGCTTCTGGAGATGCAC